CCTCTCTATAGCGCTCGATTTTAAATACGTAGTACGATGTGATTTACATTAAAAGTGACCTGTCTATAGCACCCTATTTTGGTGAGTACCAAGAGGGGGAGCTATAGACAGGTTTAACTGTATTGTGAAAATAGTAAAAACTTTTTGTACAATTTTTTTTTAATTCCTAGTACACGTGGTACAGGCCATTATAATCATGATGGGTAGTTAGCGACTGCTTTTACTGTAAGTGTGTCACATGCCTACACATGTGAAAAGCAGTGTTTGAATTTTGCATTTACAAAACTTACTTTAAAACTTTAATAAGCCTTAGAACAGGCTGTTATTCTAGACCTGTTCATAGAATGGACCAATGTTCTAATATTATCATAAGAAAACATTATTGCCAATCGTAATGCAGCAATATTAGCATCACATTTTCTGACTCCAAAATATGCAAATTAGTCTGATTTTCGAATATTTTCAAATTCTAGGGTCAAATTCCTTTGATATCTATCCATCGGTTTTATATTATAAAATATGTAAATTTGATATTGGTTTAAATTTATTAGGCTTAGTCTATTCTATATACTAAACTGCTTCTTCATCTAAACATATACTCTTGTTTAATTTATAATTTTATATGTAGTTTAAATTGAAAATAGTCTGAGAGTTGCTTCTGAACTTTTGTGTAATATGTAAAGATGGTTTTGCTCGTTCGTCTTCTGCTCGAGTGAAAGTTTTGATGTTAGAATCTTGTTCCTGTCTACTAAAATTGATGATCTGGCTTCGCCGTGGTCTGCTTTAGTGAATATTCCTCGGAAGAATTTGGTTTCTGAAAATCAAACATCATATAGCAATATTGTCATCATAATTTTCTGATGAAAATAAGAAAATAAGTGTTTTCCCCCAGTACTCGGTTATTTAAATTTTTCTTGGTTGCAAATGTGAAAAATCCTCTTCCCGGCTTAACTTTATTTTTAATTAAAAAGGCATATATTGGATCAAAAAAAAAAAATTATTTTACCAATATTTCAGTTGGCTGAAAGCCAACCTTTATCAAGATATTAAAGGTTGGCGTTCAGCCAACTGAAATATCGGTGAAATAAATGATTTTTTGATCCAATATATACCTTTTTAATTAAAGATTTATTTATGGATTGCTCTATTTTCAAAACTTATTTTATGTATTGTCAAATTTTCAGCC